CACTCACCACATCGTCCCCGCAAAAACATCCTGCAGTCGCGGACTTGCGTCCAATGGCACCTCATCTGCCCGACGAAACTGTTTCACAGATACTATCCCGGCGCTCAAGGTCTCCGAAACCGCAATCTCAGAAGATCTTAAGACGACTCCAGGGTGTCGCCCTTCGCGGCGCCGTCCGTATCCACCTCTGCCGCCCTTGTGGTCTGCAAGGCATGGCTACGTGTCGTGAATCCGCTACTGTATTATGTCGATGTCATTTGCGCAGACGCCCGCGCTTTAGCGGACGCTCCGTAACAATCCGGGATGCTCAGAGTCGAAGGGGGCTTTGGACCTGCGATGGAGCAAACGCCGGTTATCGTTGCTGGCGCAAACATCACGGCCAAGTCCGCTATCTGGTTATCGAAAGTGTTCTCTGTCAGTCCGCGCGGTCGATTTATCACTCAACTGCTGACGAGCGCTCCTTCATCGCACTCTGGTTTTTCAAAGATCACACTGGCTGGGCCTGCGCTCCTTCTTCGACAGACTCACCTGGGCGCCCGCACTCGGGATGAGATACACCTCCATTACCACATTGACTATCAGGACGACCGTGTGCTTAACGTGAGTCGTATTTTCTGCCACACACCACACCTCGAACGGCTCATTGGTCACGAGAGGTATCTAGTGATGCCCTCGTTGTCGTGGGAGGCCGTTGTCACCCTTGCAGCCTCCTAGTCTTGGAGTCTCTCTGCCTGGCTTCCTCGGTCGGCATATCCGTCTTCACCGCAATGGTGTGTGTACGCGTCCAGCACCTTCTGTGATCTACACTGACGGTTTTCGTGTCGCAGCCTTCCGCGTCTTCTGCAGCTTGAGTTGCAGCGGTAAATTCATACTTGTGCCCGACAAGTAGGAAGCACTCCTCCCACGGCATAGCCCTAAAATTGAGAGCCTCACCCTAACGACGCTCGCTGACATAGAGCACTCAATACTGGAGATGTTTCCCGCCCTTTTCCCATCGCTCGCAGAGATTCAAGTCACCCACGTTTTCGATAAATGGCCAACTACCGAGTCCGCCTTCCTTGCTCTCTCGCTCAAAGTACGATAATGATCCTTGCCCCAGTCCCTATTCCTCGGACCCGCCGCATTTGCTCCAAGACTGAGCCTTTTCCCCCGCGCCGAACGGGCTCTTAAGGTCCACCCAGTCTCCGCCAGAGTCATCTTCATCAGGCTCCCGCTCGTTCCCGCAGTCGGACCCGAGTTGTGGAGACGCCACTGCTCCAAAATCTCGAATTCTCGTTACCACTCGTCTCTGCGATTCGCGCTTTGCCCCGAGTCAAATCTGTCTCAAAACTCGAGGCGGACTGGGCGGTAGCAAGACAAACAGAATGACCTGGACCTCAGCGCTGCTGCAAATATCTCGCGCCGGCTCCTTGCAAAATGCCCTCCACCCGCCTCTACGTACTCTTTTCCCGCTTCCCGATCTCTTCCCGCTCTGCCAGACGATGCCGCAAGACCCCCAAGCCCCTTCTTCATTATCTGCCGTAGTTGCTTCAAGTTGCGTTCAGAAACTGCGCGTTGACTCCACCCGCCTCTACGTACTCTTTTCCCGCTGCCATGCTTTCACTAGCCTTCCCGATCTCTTTCTGCTCCGCCAGACGATGCCGCGATACCCCGACCCCCAAGCCCCTTCTTCATCATCTTCTGTGGTTGCTTCAAGTTGCGTTCAGCAACTGCGCGTTGAACCTGTCCGGCAAGCAGGACCCAGTGGGACGGACTTGAAATCGCATTCTAAGCTATCTACGTTACTAGGCTGGCAACGTCCGAACTACGTCGTCGTCTATTCCTGAAATCAGCATGGAAAAAGACCTGACCGAAAATATGGGTCTCCGTCGCAATCCTGGCCACAACCAATTCAGTTATCACTCGCCGTCCCGTCGCGTAAGTTCCGCTTTCTCGTTTTCAAGGCTAGCTTAATCACGACCAGCGCTTCCCTGCGAAGAGAAGCCCGCACCCGGCACACTTTAAAGGCACTGGAGCCGCAAAACACCTCACGACTGCCCTCTTCCTTCCCCTGCCATTCCTGACGATGTCTAAAGAAAACGAGAAGGGCGATGTCTCCGTTGTCGAACACCATCCTCCCAGTGACGAGGCCCTGGTCCCGCTGCCAGCAATAGGAACCCCCGAACGCATCCTCGCAGAGAAGCAGCTCGTTCGCAGACTGGACCTCAGGCTGCTCCCTACGATCATCCTGATCTACATCCTGAACTACATCGACGTGGGCTTCCTTTTTGTCGGTGTTCAACCCTCTTGACTCACGATGGCCTCAGCGGAACGGTATCACGACTGCTCGTTTGAAGGGTCTGCAAGAGGATCTGGGGCTCTCGGGTACGAATCAACTCGTCCGCGTCCTTTGTCGATTGACCCGTCTCTTTAGATCTTCAATACAGCGTGGTTCTTTCGATTCTTTTCGTGTCCTACTGCCCGGCCCAAATCCCTTCGAACATGGTACACCGACCAGATTATTATTTGAGCTCGCTGACATGTCTCAGATCCTCAACCGCATCACAAGGTATGTGCACCTGGTCAAATATCATACTTGAATCACCAAATAAACCGTTACAGGCCGTCTTGGTACATCGGGCCCTGCGTCATGGGATGGGGACTTACCAGTCTCCTCACCGGTGTATGTATGATTGAAGCCAAACGTTCGGCACCAGTCTAACGGCCAACAGGTAACCAAAAATTATGGTGGAATTCTGGCCTGTCGTGTCTTCATTGGACTACCGGAGGTGTGTATCATCCAAGCCCGCAATTCGCAAACCCCGTCTTGACCAACGGCTAAGGCTGCATTCTACCCGGGAGGTCCGGAAAATCTCGAGTTGGCTCCTACTACTAATCATCACCGAACCACTGCATCTAGCTATCTATCTGTTGACGCGGTGGTACACCAAGAAGGTTAGTCAACGGTGTCCTTAGTGCCACACCTCCCGACTCACCCGAATTCCAGGAATTGGCGTTCCGCTCCGCGATACTCTATGTTGGTTTCCTCATGGCCAACGCATTCGGTCCTGTAAGATTTCAGACAAGGACATCCTTCTTCGGTTGCTAACCACATCTACTAGCTCATTGCCGCCGGAATCCTCGCAAAAATGGAGGGCGAGCGGGGGATCCGAGCTTGGAGATGGTATGTATGCTTCAACGAAATTCGAATCACTGTTCATGTCGATTCCAGGCTGTTCTTCATTGAGGTGGGTGTGGTCCACACAATAGAGCCGTCAATTCATCGAGAAACTCAACAGGGTTCTATCACCATCTGCATTGGAATTTTCACAGTGTCTGTGTCGAGTTGAGCATCCCCGGCGGTGAATCTTCATACTAACTCGGACTCGATCCAGCTGGGCGCTTCCGGATTATGTCTGGCTGAATTCGCAATCCCTACCTGCTTTACAAACTCACATAGCTTCAGCCGCACAACACAAAGTGGATTGTTGGGGACCAACGGCGTCTCGCTCAGGCCCGTCTCGCGGACGACGCTGGCGAGGCAGACCAGGATAACGACAAGGACACGTAAGATTAATATGTTTACGCGCTCCCGTTTCCAAAGCCTCACCCTCATATGCAAAGGCCACTCGCGGGATTGAAGATGGCGATTACAGATCCCCTCGTGCTGGCATTCTCTATCATGAACATCGCGCAGCTTCTCGGGCTCAGCTTCATCAACTTCTGTGAGGCTTCCGTGTTTTGCGTTCCATCATACCTCGAGTCTGACAATCTCGCAGTCCCGAGTCCCCGACGTTTGCCTGCCCTACTCTCGGAGTCACTCCATGTATCTGACCGCTCACCGCAGACTTACCAAGACTCTCGGATTCAATACGACGATCAGTTTGCTTCTTGCAGCGTAAGTGTTCGGGTGGTTGAACTTGCCGCCTCCGATTCCACACGCTCACCGAAAAAAAATCAGACCTCCCTGGGTGGTTACATCGGTAGTTGCCTGCCTCAGTGCTTGGCATGCGGGTCGGTTTTATCTTCGATAGTAAATGCCGTAGGTTCTGACCAGGTTTAGATAAAACCGGGGAGCGATACTTCCATCTCGTGTTCCCCTGGTGGGGCGTCATCCTTGGGTTTGTTATCAGCCTGGCCACCCTGAACACTGGCGCCCGTTATTTCTCGATGATATTGATGGTGTGTGGCGTCAATCGGTTTTTCTTTCTTCCTGTTGAGTTTATTCCAGGCGTGCGGCTATGCTGGTACGTATCCCGGCACAACTTGTGCTGAACCTGACCACTACTTCAGGGACCGCTGTGACAATCGTCTGGGTATCCAACGTGATCCCGCGACCGCCCTCGTAGGTGCTTTTTCCGTTCAAATCAACGCTGTTCTTGACGCCGAACAGGAAACGGGCTGCTGCGATTGCAATTGTTAACGGCGTTGGGAATTTGGGCAGCCTGTGCGTAATCCACGAGACCTTTCCTTTTTCAACTACCAACACTTTCCTCTGTAGGATGGGTTCCTACACCTGGAAGGCCACTTGGGGTCCGAAATACCACCAATCTATCCTCATCTCCCTGTGTTCTCTGGTCTTGAGTTCGGTGATCTCGTTAGGTAGTTTGCGATTCCCGTCTTGGGTTTTACACCATTATTGACGCGACGCGATGTGTCCAGGTATTCGAAGACACCTGATGGTCAGAAACCGGAAGTTGGACGAGGACGAGCGGTTCGCGATGCAGGGTGCAGATGAGATCCGTGTACAAGAGGCCGCGATTCTCGAAGGAATCAGTTTCGAACAGGCGATGGAGAGGAGGAAAGGTTTCCGCTATTTGTACTGAATATGATCATCATCCTGTAGTAGATACTAAGCGAACGTTCAGGTATGTAGGTAGGTAGGTAGTTCCCGCGTCCACTGTGTTTATCTCCGGGCCGGGGTCATCGGTCGAAATGCGATTGTTGAATGTCTTGAGGCAAGAAGATTCACCGAGAAAATGCAAGGTCGGCCGAAAAATGCGTCGAAGACGGCTGATGGAGGCGGGCTCAGGGATTCGAACCCCGAACGCAGCGTTCAATGGAATTAAGTGCCGTGTGTTACCGTTACACCAAGCGCGCAGTCAAGGAGTACTAGTAAAGATGCTAACCATCCGGAAAGTGACCCTGAACATGATTGATGCGATGGTCCCAGGAGGGACGATGAAACTCTTAGGCTTACCTGCCTGACGACTTCAACACGTTTTCAGTATGGGATCCTTGGTGAATCCTGGAGCCATTCCTGACTTGTACCGTGGCGGTTTGAAACCCGTTGGTCAAATTTAACATTGCTCACCGAAGGCAAGACGTACCGGGTACGTACCCAACTCGTGCGGCGTTGAGCAGGACGGACTACGACGTTGCAGGGTCAGTCAGAGACTGCGAACTGAGACGTTTCTGGAGATCCGGACAAACCACACCATAAACCGGGCGACGCTTTCTAATGGAACGGTGAGTGCAGCACTCTGCGAGAGGGCCTTCAAGGGTCGGATTGGGAAGGAGACTTGATGACCACTTCGCCAGCGAGTTGCAGTCCAACGCGTCAAGTTTGCAAACTGAATTCATTTCTACATACCTACGCCTCGAAGTACTCCGGCAATATATACGCCAACTTCGCGCTCTTGTGTGTACCCGGCGGCGCCATGAACGCAAAACGCATATTGCCGGACTCCTCCGCGAGCAGGGCCTGGTCGGCGGCGAGGAGACGCTCGATGACGTGCGCGGCGACGTGCCGCGAGGTATCGGCATTATTGCGCAATATCTTGCCCACCTCAGCGGCGGTGACGCCGGCCTCGTGCGGGCGCCAGGCGTCGTAGTCGGTGGCGGTCGCGATGAGCGCGAAACTGGTGTTGTGAGATTCAATATGGAATCGAAAAAGAAGTTGGTGAAGAGGCGGACGCACGCAATCTCCGCCTCGCGCGCGAGCTTCGCCTCGGGGAGGGCAGTCATGCCAATGAGATCGCCGCCCCACTGGCGGTACATCAGACTTTCTGCGCGAGTCGAGAACTGCGGACCCTCCATCACCACGAGTGTCTTGTCCGTCCACAGCTTCACACCCCTCCCCTCGTCCTTCAGCGCCTCACGCACGGCGTCAGCGAGCCACGCGGCCAGATGCGGCGAGTATGGGTCGCTGAACCCTGCGTGCGCCACGAGGCCCGTGCCGTCGAAGAAGGACGTGGGACGTTCGCCTTTGGTGCGGTCGATGAGCTGCGAGGGCAGCGCGAAGTCCCCTGGGGCGATTTCCTCGCGGAGGGAGCCGACGGCGGAGAAGGCGAGGATGGTGCGCACGCCGAGGGACTTGAGGGCGGCGATGTTGGCACGCGCGGGGATTTGCGAGGGCGAAATTGTGTGCGCTTTGCCGTGGCGCGCGACAAAGGCTACCAGTGCGCCAGAAGGGAGCGCGGAGATGGTGATGGGCGACGAGGGATATCCCCAGGGCTACTGAGATTATTATGAGACCAGCAGGAATATTCTGGACACGTACCGTCTCCTCCTCAACCTCGCGTCTTCGAAGGCTTAAACATTGGAGAAATGGGATCGATGGACGACTTACACGAATGTCAGGTTTCCGAGATTGTACAGCCCACTACCGCCAATCACGCCCACAAGTACTGAAGAGGATTCAGCAAAATTGACCGATGGGACACGGAAAACTGGAACCCTTATCGCTGGCCATCGTGGTTCGAAAGAAAGAGGTGATCCGTTTGGCCTTGTTGTCCAGGGTCGTCTCGCACTCCTTCTCCGCAACTTTCATCTCGTCTGCACACGGTATCTCCTCGAACGACTGCTGTCCTCGAAAACTCGGGCCAAATATGAAGGACTTTCTCTGGCTAGGCTCTTGGCTCTACGCACATGCCGCATTCTGGCGAAACAAATTGGAGATGGCACCCTGGCAAATTCCGATTACCAGCTCGACCCCTCGTCCACAGATCTATCCGCATCTCCGTGTGGCCTTCTTTCTTCTTCGGTTCTGAATCTTCTGTGGCTTCCTGGGTTAACCTCTCTGCGAGGGGGAACGCATGGTCGATGCGTTCGTTGATATGCAAACAAAACTTCCGAATTTTACTCTCCTCGGGAACGCATTTAAACTCCCAAACCTTCACCTCGATGCCGCCGGACTGGCTTCTTTCCTGGGCCTTTCAATCTATATGGCAATTACCGTCAACGCCGATCCAAATTCCGACTCGACGAGCACGCATTTTGGCATTCAGGCTCATCAACACCTACGCGGGTCAACTGACTTGTATTTCCAGGGGCATGATTCTCACTGCCGCGCCCCAAGACCTTTTCTCCTGCCAGTTTAGGCTAAGCTTGACTGGGTTCATGCATCCGATTTGCTTCCGTATGTATATATTCTCAGGGACGTCTCAGAACTTGGTCACTCCCGGATACTGTGTTAACTCGATCTCCGGACTGTATTTCCCGGTCAGAATCACAGGCGACTCTCGCAGTTCGAGTCGCGGACATTGAACGGCCTTTACCTTGATTAGCTTTGAACACCCTGGGGACAACATACTCAATTCGTCAGACGAACGACTTCCTGGGTCAAGGTCAACAACTTCCTCGCCGATTTTCCTCTATGCGCGCTCGTTCTGGTTGCAACCTCTCAATATTGCGAACGCCTCGACGAAACCCACAGCATCCGCACGGCTACATCCTTGAAGTGTATCACAAATAGAGCACCAAGCCTGGTCACCTGCGCCAACGCACATGGCTGTTTCAATTTCTCATGTCGTTTTCTGCTCTTCCAACTTCTCCCGTGTCGCTTCTTTCCTGTTGTAGCGAAGTCCGTCCCCACGACACCACCATAAATCTCGCGCAGACAGAACTAGATCCCCTTGGCGAACCCTTGCTCTCCAACCGAAGGACCACAATGCACCCCGTCAAGTCCATCCTGTTCGGCGTCCTCGCTGCAATCCTCGTCGGTGCTGCTCCCACGCCCGACAACCTCCTCGGCGAAGTCATCGACGCCCTCGGCATCGGGCTTGTCACTAGCATCCAGGTCACCCTGACGGTAAAGGCTCCCTTCCCTCCCATCCATCGATTTAGGCTCATGCATTTGCATACAAGCTCGCAACCCTCAGTAACAACCTCGTCTCGTACGTCCCATTCCAACTTTCTCTTGCTCGCAGCCCCACCTAACGCTCTCCGGCTCAGCATCTCGTTTGAAGGTTATCTTCTCCGTCCTTCTCGTCTATTTGTTTCTTATTGTCTGCAACCACCCCAGCGCAAAACCCCCTCCTCTTCGAACTCACCCTTGACCGCGTCACCTCCTCAGCCGGTCTCAACGGCACAACCTACGCCTCCTTCGACCACTCCTTCCCCCACCCCGTCGTCGTCCCGCCGCTCGGCACCGCCAACTCCGGCAACATCACCAATGTACCGCTGACCCAGGGTGTCGACGCGTCGCTCGCCATCATCCCGTTCCAGGAGTTGGATCTGCAGGAGGTGGATATCGATGTTCGGTGCGTGTTACAGTCGCAATTATTATGTCGGGTGTGGGGGTAATCTTTCTCTCATAGTGCGGGCAGCTTCTTCGGCATCGGCGGCGTCCCGCTCGTCATATCAGGTCTCCACCAAATTGATGTGCCCACAACGTACGTCTGCTGCTTCTCCCTCTTGCTCCGGCTCCTCATCCCTTATATTGATCTACGCTTTCCCTCACTTCTTCCTCGCCAGGTACATTTTGGATCTGGCTCAAACCCTTTCGCCTCTCCGCGCGCATGAACAGAGCACTCGTTATCTTTGTCTCTTGTAACCTGTAGGTTGGATATCATAACTCGATTTCCGTTCAAATCCAAGCCCCGGACGTGGCCTAGGTCCCCAGTTAGAACTCGTGTTCTGAAGGGCAACCATAAAACCGAGTGCAACTTGCTCTCAAAAGCTGGTTTTATTTCCATTACCATTCGTTAAACGTTTGTCAAAGCTTTTTCAGCTGCTGGCAGGGAGTGAGGAAGTACAGCAATGGGGCTCTCTGAAGTTCATGGCTCTCATCCACCAGGAATGTCATACGTCGCCGTGAAAAATAGAGTAGCAACCTGGCCAGTGAACCAAAACTTGGAGATAGCCAATCGGCCAGGCGTGCTCAGGGAGTCGAACCCTGGACTGAGCTAATAACAGAGCCATGTGTTACCGTTACACCAAGCGCGCGGTGTCGATGCAAAAAAACTCGCAGGGGCCGGACTAAGGCGGGCTTGGGGAGTCGAACCCCAGATTCGGCGATTGTCTTCAGTGCCGCGTGTTACCGTTACACCAAGCCTACATGGCTAGCATAATTGGCGATGCCCAACAAGGAAGAAAAGTAATTCTGCGGCAGTATGTCAAGTTAAAGGAAGGAAGGAGCAAAATAATGACAAGAGAGTCTTGAAGGCGTGCTTGGGGAGTCGAACCCCAGACTCGGCGTTAAAGGATTTCAGTGCCGCGTGCTACCGTTACACCAAGCGCGCTGTGCGGTAAGGCGCTCTGGTATACACAAGGCAGATTTGAAGAGAATTAATGCACCATACTCGCCGGGACGCAAGATACCCCTGGAGTTCAAATATCAATCGAGCATTGCCTTCATACCTCCATGCCGACCGCTGAGGAAGTAGTACTTACAGAGTCCCCCATATAAGTATCATAATCATGAGTTCCGCGACACCGGAGCGTTCGATGGGAAAAGCGACTGAATTTATCGGCGCTACCTGCGCACAAGGAAGCAAAAGGAATGGTCCCGTCAACGGGCAAAAAAAGCTGAAAGCAGCTTGGATAGGCGGGCTCGGGGAGTCGAACCCCATACTCAGCGATTATATCAAGTGCTGTGTGTTACCGTTACACCAAGCACACGATGAAGATCAAGACAAGTAGGAGATGTCAACCTCGCCCGAATTCCCTAAGGTTGAACTAGATCACCTAGCTCTTCGTCGAGGATAAAGCGAGGAGGTCGATTAACGACCGATTGTGTCTCGCGATGTGAGCTCGAAACAAATTACACGAACGACACGCAGAAATGCACCTTGACTCTTGGCTCTTGAAAGACTCGCCGCTTGTAGCGCGCGGACTGCATGCATACGGTGACATGAATGAAATGGCTCAGAACAAAGGTCAACGCACCCAAGACCGACGAGCAAAACACCACCCGAAGGGAACACGCACTAGAGGATATCATATCGGGTAAGTAAGTAGGAGAGCGAGTAAGTAGGAGAGTAACAACAGTAAGTAGGAGAGTAACAACAACAGCAGACTATAAGTAAAACTAATATGTACCCGCGAACCTATAGAGACTGTACAATATACGACTATATAACCGACAACAGATAGTATGGAGAACAAGCGACGGAATAAAGATAAGTAAGTATGCAAAACATAGGGAAAGCGAAGCAGATATGGCGTCGTCCGTCCGGCGGTCCATGGCGGCGTCCAGCACAGGTTATCCGTGCCGCACAATCGCCAGCGTGGTGTCTTCCCTCCTGTATGCGGAACCGCCTATCGTCGGTCACCGCGCACCAGGAGGGAGGGTGGTATTATGCTGCCACCGCCATCGAACGACGTCCGATTCGTCGCACGGAGGGGCATGTACGCGCTGCGCCCTCGATCAACGTCGAGGGCCTCAGCGGGGGTGTCGCTTAACGCGGGGTATCCGAGCTCTTCTAAAAGCCAGGCTGCAGGTGCGTCGTCGTCATACGACGCCTACAAGATGCCCGAGTCCTTGAGCGCATTCTGAAGGATCGTCTCCTTGACGGCGGCGAAGACGAGCCGAATGTTCTTGGTATTTGTGGCTTGCGTGACGCTACACCAAGGGCACAGAGGTGAGCAACGAATGGATCGGGGATGATACGGACGACACCACTCACTGCGGGTACACCGTCAGCTTCGCCCGATTTTCCTGCATAAACTTCCACAGGATGTACTTCGCCGCCTTCTGCAGGTCGTTTCCGCCCGCGTATTCGGGGAAGTAGCGGCCTAGGGGAATCTACGCAAGCGGAGGGTGAGCGAGCGTCGGAGGCAAGTCGACGCGAAACACACCTTGGGCAGCTTCCTCTTGAAGACGTCGATTTTATTGAGGAAGAGGATCACGCTGGTGCGGAGGAACCAGCGCGAGTTGATGACCGACTCGAAGAGGTAGAGGGATTCGCGCATGCGGTTCTGCGAAGGGAGTGCGTTAGTGACGGGTAGCATGAACAGGCGAGGAAGGAAGAAGGGGACGACGAGCAGATGGGTGGGCAGAGACACGCGATGGACAGGGAGAGGTGAATGCTCTCTCGGGTGCAGTAGCAGCGTCGGACGCGTTTACCCTGGGCGGCGCCGCTGCAGCCACCAGCGATGCACTCCATCCGTATCACCCCTCCTCCGCCGTGTGTGCGCCCAGCCACACAATTCGGCACGCCCGACGCCGGGTCTCGCCCACCGTCCGTCGCACTCGTAACAGAGGAGTAGAGGAAAGAAGAGAAACCAAAAACGCACCACCCTCCTCTCCTCCTCGAGCACCTGGTCATACTCGCTCAACGCCGTGCAAAAGATGATGCTCGTTACACTAGAAGAGGCAAGGTCCGTCAGCGTCAGTATCTCGTGACAACGGGGCCGAAAGAAAGGAACGCCAGGAGGAAGGGGAGGGACAAGACCGATTCGCAGCAGAACGAGCAGAGCACAAGGAAGAAACGGTAGGGTACAGCCACAAAAAGCGGAGACCTTCCCGAAAAGGAAGTCTCCGCATCGTCCTAAAAGTGAGTAAACGGCCAAAACGACCACGACATGCTCTAAAAGCACGAGCGGCGTCTGTCCTGCGAGCACAACGGAAAGGGCCGCGCAATCTCGTCCGTCGGCACTACTGGCCGCGGCGGTTCGGAAGTGCCACCAGCACGCGCGCTCGTTCTGCGTGACTCCAACGGCCACCACTGCGCACATCGACCCAACTTTGCGCAGGTACTGACACCGCACCAGCAGTCGACACTGCTTGCGAAGGTGCGAGGAGAATCATGGACACGCGAGCGACGGCGCCGACAAGCGCGCCCGCCTGTGCATCCACCAATAGGCCACATCCCAGCACGGCGACGCGTCATCCTCCAGCACGCACACGCACACGCACGACGCGCGAGTGCCGCCGCATGAGCATCGTCCATCCGCCGATGACCAGCAGCCGCGCGTCGTCCACGCAGCCCTCTACCCACACACACCCACCCTCCACACACCGCACACATCGAAAAGCCAAGAAGGAAGGCAAGAAACGCAAACGCACCTCTCAAAACAATGAATCCACTTCTTGCGCTCGCTCCGCTGGCCGCCGACGTCGAACATGTGGATCCTGCGATAGAACGAAGGGTTAGCGGGAGAGGAGGAGGAGGCGAGAAATGGGAGGAGGGGAGATGAGAGGAAGAGAGAGACAGATGAAGCGCCCGGAGAGATAGGCAGGTGAGCACGAGCGAGATAGCCCAGTCGTGCGCGGGCCGCGCTCGCGTTAGCCAGACCGAGCCCGCGCGCCCCAGCATCCAGCACAGCGACGATGCAGAGGCAGAGCCCGCTGCGAGGTCCTGCTACGGACGAGCACGATCCGGACACGACCTCCACATCGCTTGTCTCCATTCTCCGCTGCACATGTAGACTCCACGGACATGTCCACTTCTCCGCAGCAGCGACCCTGTCCAGCCGAGCAGGGCTCGAAACGAAGATGCTTCTCCCACCGCGCTGCCAGGTACCACACACCCCGCCGTCAGCACCATCCTCCTCCGCATCGCGCCCCTCGCGCCGTCACCGTCCTCGTCCTCAGCCGCCGCACAGCTGCCACGCCGAGACACGCCGCGAGTCAATCTCTCGGAGACGCCGCGCACCCCGCCGTCAGTACCACCCTCCTCACGCGGACGTCGACTCCACGGGAGGCCCACACCTGACCTAGGAACGGACACCACACCGCTTGTCCCCATCCCCAGCACAGTATCGCGAGCACCCACGTTCTCGTCCTCAGCCGCCGCACAGCTGCCACGTCGAAGATGCACCGCGGCCCGTGTCTCGGAAACGCCGCACACCCCGCAGTCAGCACCGTCCTCCACCGCACCGCGCGCCGACGTCCCCGTCCGCAGTCGCTGCCCTCCACGTGCCCACCCGTGCGCGGCCGTAGGCGTGTTCCTCGTGTCCACGTCCCCAGTGTGCCGGTGCGTCACGATCCCCACGCCGTCCTCCGCCTCTCTCTCCCCCCAAAAGAAAAAAACCCCCGCCGTCCAAACGCGATAAAAGAGATGAGAGAAACTCAAGAAACGCACATCAAATCCCCCATCCAAAACCGCGTCTCCATAATCGCCGTGCTCCGCGCCCTCGCGCGGAGGAGGTCCTCGTCGGAGGGGAGGTACGTGGGGGAGGCGATGCGGTGGATTTGGGAGAAGAAGCTGTGGGAAGGGAGGGGAGGGGGTTAATATAAACGAAACCAAGCTGGAAGAATTAGGGGAAGGCAAGAAGAAGAGCGAGCGTCCCAAGCAAGCACAAGGCACGACGCATGAAGACTCGTGTGGCGGCACGAGCCTCGGCTCTCGAGGGAGCCAGGAGGGCAAGGAAGACAGTAAAGGGAAGGACGCGTATAGACGGGAGTGTATGGGGTAAGGACGAGGGGGAAGAGAACGGGGAGGGGGGGAGGCGGCGAGGGAACGGAACGGTGGAGGAAGGCGGGGTGAGGGATGGCTGAGGGTCGGGGTGCGTGCCACGACGCACGGACGAGCTCGTATGCGCAGCACGAGCCTCGTCTCTTGAGCAAGGGCGTGGATGCGATGAAGGAGCAGGGTGGAGTGCCGGATGTCGGTGTGGATGCGAGGAGAGGGAGCACGGCCGGCTAGCGCTCGTGCCACCTCCCGAGCGAAGGTATGGTATGGAAGAAGGAGGGAGGAAGGGCGGAGCACGACGGACGAGCACTCGCGCCGCCTCTCTCGAGGGAATGGGAAGGTATGGAAGGAGGGGAGTGGAGGTGGATGCAGGGAGGAAGGATGCAGGGAAGAAGGTATAAGGGGGAAGGAGCGCGCGAGCACAGCGCAGGGACGCCGCCGATGTGTGGCGTCTCAGCGCCGCGAAACACGAGGCTCTCGAGAACGCAGCCGCTGGGACAAGACTCGTATTGTCTCGTCTGCGCAGCGCTCGTGTCGTCTCTAGGGCGAGCGAGGGTGACGATGGGAAGAGAGGGTAGGGCGGGGGCAGATGTGAATGTGGGTGTAGATGTGCGAGATGAAGGCGACACGACGGGGAAGGAAAGGAAAGGAAAGGAAGGGTAGAACAGAATGGCAAATGAGGATGACGCGGACTGAAGGCACGCCCGACGAGAGCTCGTGGGGCAGGCTGGGTACGGAAGGTGGGGGCAGAGGTGGTGGTATGGGGATGCGATGAAAGGGAAGGGTATAACAGAGCAGCAAACGAAGGACTCACTACGCCGCACTATCCATCAAATAAAACTCGCCCGGATGGTCGTCGACGAGCCGCTCCACCGCAGGCGCGCGCGCGACATGCCATATGGCATCCGCCAGCGCGGGCGTCAGCACCGCGTGCGTCTGCGCCAGCACCGTCGCCTGTTCCTGGGCGCCTGCGAGCATGATTAATTTCGATGAGGAAAGGCAGGACGGGAATGGGAAGGGAAGGAAGGAAGGAAGGGAGACGCACCCCTCAACCGCGACGAATCCCCCGTCCCGGGCCTCGCAGACACCCGCCCCGTCTGGATCCCCCCGCCGCCGCCGCCCCCGCCGCCACCGCCGCCGTTGCGCAAGGGCAGGTACTCGGACGACGCGGTGGACATGGACATGGACGCGGCGCTGGAGCGCGTGAACGGGATGGGGTCGAGCCCGACCTGCACGTCGCCGTCGCCGCCCTCCTCCGTGTCC